ATTTTTGAGCATTCTTTGAGGCATTTATCAATTAATGGGTTTTAACGCAAACACTATTTGGTGTAAAAACCGGTATTTAATTGTTAGTATATTTGTCACTAATTGTTACCATGAATTGCATTTACAATCACTTAAGCTTTTAATTAACTTCAATTTAATTGTGGAATAACAAATTAAATTACGTAACATTATATTTGTTAATGTAAGATTAAAATTAATATTACGTGTAAAGTAACCAACCTAGTTCTCACAGATGCGCAAGAAATATATTTGTAGAGTACTGCTGTCCACCCCATAGCAGCGTCCGATTTTTATTGACTTATACAGTGTAAATCACTGTACTGTATAACACTGTAAAGTATATCATATTGGCATACATTGTATAAGTCTATTATAATCGGACGCCGCTATGGGCTGGACATCACTCGTGTAAAGTAAAACGACCAAAAATTACTCCTCACATCTAACCCTTGTTGTAATTTACATATTCATAAGTTTGTTACATATACGATACAGTAGTGCTGAGATTATATTTCATATATGAAATTTTTGCGGAACCACTAAGTTATTGGTGCAGTATACTTTTTATAGCGGATAAATTGAAACCAGAGAAAATCACATCTTTTAACAACGATAATTACCAATAATTATATCAAGGAAGAAATTTTCACGTACATTGAAAAGTACAGGAATAAATATTTTGAAAATAAGCTGTAATACAGGGAAATACAGGAATTTTTGGCAATTTTCACACATTTATACAGGATTTTCAAAATATTATTTGGCAACACTACTTATAAGACTTTCATGTTATTTAATAAATTATGTCAACAAAACGGTTGCAATACATTTGGTTGAGAACATAGTATGCATTGAAATCAATTAAAAATTCATTTAGTTGTTAAACATTACCTATAATTTACAGTTTAGAGAAATTATCAGTTCTTTTAGATTTAAAAGTTGTTTCAACGAATTTTTTGCATTTCATTCAAATTATCATTAAATGAGTTGATATGCGATCACAACATAACATGCGATCACAACATGTAATAAGTTTGCGTATGGGTTGACGGGACACATGTTTATACAGAGAAATGCCACACATTTTATTAGAAAATATGATATGCCAGAGAAGTAGACAGCATAGGGTTTATTTTAACATTAAATCTATGGGATTTAGTTGATTATATAAAGAAGTTGACAGTACAGAAGTTTTACTGTATAAAGTAATGAAATACAAAAACACAAATTCAATTAGCGTTTAAAAAACTTTATTTCACTTTTTTTTAATTAATAAAATCCTTACTTTAGTATTAAAATAAGTTATTTAATAGTTATTTAAAATAACTTAAATAACTATATTTTTGCAATCAGTTTGAGGTTCACGTAGTGTTGTGTAAAAGTTGTGCAAAAGTCAACAAATGTTTTGACCCTTATTTAAAAAATCGTTGGCCTTGACCCGGGTTAACCTTTTAATGGGTTCATTGTCATAGTAATACAGTGCAACCTCTCTTGGGGCAACTTCTCTTGAGGAACATCTCCTTTTAAAATTTTAAAACGGATTTGAAATATATTTTAGATTTTCTATACCTATAACAGAACCTCCCTTTGGAGGAACCCCCTCTATAGGAAACACTTTCTAATTCTAAGTTAAATTTTACATTCATTTCATATTTTCATATATAAGTTAATATTAGATAAATTGAAATTCCCCGATAAAAGTGGTCACTTCGGCCAAACTCTATGTCGGACGCAAGATATGAAAAATAGGTGGAATCGTCACGCGATGTACTTTATTTCATATGGATAAATGCATGGGCCAATATGCCCATGGTCCTTCAATAAAACAAGTGCTCGTAAATACCAAATATCCTTTTTTTGTTATTTTTGAAAATTAATATCAGATATAACTTAGAAATTACACATAACTTACAAAATATCTATATATATATATATATATATATTTAATAATAATTATAAGGATTGAATAATTTACTATACATTGTAATGAATGGGACACTGGTTTGAAAGTGTTGTGAATGCAAGCATACGTCAGAAGACATACTGGTATTGGCTGTACAAGTGATGCACAAGTGATGTGCAAACATGAGCTGACATGAGGTGACGCTTTCATACGTGTAGTTAACGTGTAGTAAATAAAGAGGAGTTTCTTTGAGGTTTGGTTTTTAATGTAAATAGAATTCAAGAGTTGTTTGAAAGCAACTAAAGGAAAACTTTTGTAATAATTCTTAAATAAATTGCGATAAAAATATATTTTAAAATCTAAATACAACAAAAAAATACTGAACAGAAAAACTACCGGTAAATCACACTAAAAATTCGTCAATTCGTATATAAAAAGCAAATTTTGTTCACTAAAAACTTGATGAGTTAATTATGGTAACAATTTGTGGCTAAACTCTCGAATAAAAGTCATATTTAATATAAAGTTTTCGTTATAATGTATTGTCAAAGAGTGATGGAAACAAACATTGAATTGTAATGTAATGTTAAGTTGTGTTTCTGAGACATTGAGTAACTATTTATTCAATATTTATACAACAATTTAATGAGTAAATGCAATGAGAAAACTAATGGGCTTTTATGTCAAACAAATGAAATGAGTGTTTCAAACAATTAATTAATTAATGAGTAGTTATTTAAGCGATTAGTGTTAACCTTAACCCCGGATTCGGTTTATTTGTTTGTAAATTAGCTCTTCTTTTGCGGTGTACTTCTGGAGGCTCTGCCAGAGGGCGCTGGAAGTGGAGGCGGCGGCGGTTTGGGCGCCGGTTTCTCGTGCTTTTCACACTTTACATCCGTTTTCTCAGTCTTTTCCGTTTGATTCCACGGCAATGAAAAGTATCTATTCATCCAAATAGACGTCAGTTATTGTATAATTATATTCGCACTTAAGCTTAAAATGATTGTTCAAATTGTAATTTACTTGAGCGCCAGTTTGGGAATGGGATGACCGAACGCTATGACCGGGATTTTGTCCGTCACTTCCAGTGATTGAACTGAACGATAGAAACATAATTTTATAAACAAATGGCATTTCAATAACAGTTCAAACAATTGATTCAAAAGCAATCAAAACTCACGGCTTTTAATGTCGGGATAGAAAGATGTAAATTCTTGCGACTCCTTCTTGAGATCAGTTGACTTGTCATTATTGACACAATTGGTTAAACTGGAGCTATAATAACGACCGGTGCGTAACTTCTCGTTCTGGCGCTGCTCTCGCAGTCTCTGTATATCCCATCTGTTGACACAAACACAACAAATCAAACACTTTTTCACTAAATATTCTCAAAATATATTTCAAACCTTTTTCTCCGTCTTTCGTCGTTCTCTAACTTAAGATGTCTTCTATTGAAGACCTCGTCGTCTAAATTCTGTTCAAATAAAACCATTTATAGTTTCACTACACATATGTCGACAATGATATGCAAACCTCTGTGCCCTCCAGTGAGTAACAGCTGCTGACCGGATGGAGTCGCCAATTGGGCACTTCGATCACTTCGTCATCACTTTCCGGAACAGTTGTTTTAACGCTTTCTTCGTTTACTAAACAATTGTCAACTAATTTATTGTCTAACGACTCGTTATTTACACACAATTCAATCGACGAATTGTTAACGACTATAGAGTAAGGCTTTGTTGTCGTCAGTATGTCTTTGATCACTGGATGTGTCCGAAAGACCGCCGAACTAATAGGTGTTGCCGTCGCTGGAGTGGTGTCGGCGACGGCGACCGCCGGACGCGTTCCGGTGACCGACGAAGAGCTCTCACTGGGTTTTTGTTGTTTAATCACACGTTTGCGGCTATTATTGGTTGTGTTTAACGTTTTATTACTTTTAGTTGTACTCAAAGAATCACAAGAACTCTCCTTATTGTTCGTCAAAACCTTTTTATTGTCGCTTTTTGTCTGCGAATCGGAACTAATGGATGCTTTGTTGCGTTTCTTAGCGATGGCGGTAGTGGTGGTGACCGGTGTTATGGTCTGCGGCGTAGCGTCTGCTGTGTCTGCGGTCGCGACCGCCGGTTGTGTCGCGTCTGGAGTCGAATGTCTTTTGCGATTTTTGCGAACCGAAGACATAGCGCTGGCGGCAGTCGTTTTCGTCGTCGACGCCGTAGAGGCCGTCGCAGTGGTCACAGACGTCGTCGTAGTAGTGGTCGTTGCGGTCGTCTCTGCGCTCGTAATACTCTTATTTGATTCGCCGCTCAATTGTGGCTCACATTTTATCTTAACGTTCACTAAATTATTGACAGTTGTGTTCAGTTTTGCACTCAATTGACTGTTATTTACACTATTATTAACACTTGTGGTACTGGAGGTGATCACCGCCGCAGCCGTTGTGGTCGTCGCTGACGATGGCTTTGCGTACAGTTTGGTGAACAAAGTCGGGTCTGTGAAGAGTCCGACAACACTATTGGCCTCACTCTCGACGATAGTATCGCTACAGCTTTGGTCGCAATCGGTTTCCGCCGTATTATTGGTATTACTTTTATTAGCGATAATTTGACTGTTATTTCGGTTACTATTCGTGACATTCACTGAAATACTGTTCGCGTTATTCACGAGATTATTGTTGACGGCGTTATTATTGGCCACTTTGGCCATCAAGTCGGCGATCTTCTTCTCCATCTTCTCTAAGCGCATACAAAGTGCTTCCCTGTCCTGTTTGAGGCCCTGGAGCTGGCGGTCCTTCTTGAGGAGCTGTTCCTGTTGGTGTTGAATCAGATCCAATTGACCCAGGATCATTTCCGTCAGTCTCGAGATCTGGTTCCTCTCGGCCGACACTCCGCCCCCTAACAGACCGCTCGCCATCCGTACGGACAGACCGTTGGCGATCACCGACAACGAGCCGCCGCCACCGCCGCTATCGTTGTTCAACATCTTGTTATCCGTGGCGTACATGTGGTCCGACTCGACGGACGACTCGAAGGCCACACCAGTGACGAGTTCGGCGGCCATCGGACCGATTGCCGTACGGTGTGAGCCGTCCGACGACGAGGACGTGGTCTGAAGGGCGGCACAAATGCCGGCACTCATCGATTGTTGGGAGGCTTTGGTGCACGAGATGTGGTCGTGAAAGGCGGCCGCGAGATTCACTTGACGTACCATCACTTCGTTGGTCTGGTCTTCATTAGCGCTCAATTGGCTCCTAATGGCCGACATTTGCCGAAGACGTCGGTGAGTGAGTGGCCAACGGGTGGCGACCAAAAGGTTTGTGCAAACAATCACAACCCGTTTGACAGCTGATTCATCGACCGGTTGGACAGCTGTACACTCGGCCCGACTCTCGCGCACACATCACAGCACTGGCCGGCACTCCGAGTACGGCATCTGAGGGTTGGTCTCTGCGTGTGTCCGGAGCCGAGGTATGTGTCTCTCTGTCTGTCCAGCGATAGTGTTGTCACAAAATGTGGTGAATGTGTTGTGTCTATGGGTTTGTGTTGTGTATTGTTGTGACAAAACTAACGGCCATTTTATGCATACATTTTGCTGTCGTAATGGATGTCATAACCAATGGTTGCGAGACATTGGGAACCGGCGCTCACTTTTGAACATTGCTTTCCCAACACATGTATTGCATAACACATTCACACACAACACATGTACCACTTTTCCGACAC